GTAATACCAAGATGTTTAAAAAGTTGAATTATTTTAAAGTTAGTAGTATGTTTGTTTGGTTCATCAATAATAGGATTATCATGAATTAAGATGCTGGTAGGTGACCAGAGATTGTTTTGAAGCTGTTGAAGCTAAATGCAAGTGCTAATACCAAGAAGATTTGGAGAGTTAAGTCTTTTAATATAATTTGTAATATGCAGTTGAAGTTGAATATCCCATATGTTATAGTTATTGTATGGGTCTGATTTAACAACCCATGTGTCACTTAATACTTTAATAAAAGTTAAAAAAAATTAATTAAAAGTAACAATTAATTTGTAAATAAAAAAAGAATTTTTAGTGATTTAAAATTGATAACACATTCTTTCTGTCTTGTTAAAATGTCAAACAATTTACAAGAAGAAGTAAACAATTATCTAACCTTTCTAAAGTTACAAACACTGATAAAAACACTGAAAAATAGCTTCATCATATAACCTGTTATATAAAAGAAAATAATATCCAAAAAAACCTAGACCAAATTGACAATAGAGATGAACTTGATGAATTTCTTAGTTTGTTTATTGCATAGTTAAAGCGAAAAGATGGAACACCTTTTAAAGTAGAGTCAGTTTATAACTGTTATGCAGCCTTGGCACACTATTTAAGAGAACATAATGCAATTGGAAGTAGAGTGTGTTTATGGGATAAATATTACTTTCCTAAAGCATTAAAATGCCTTGACAGAAAAATGCGTTTATTACAAATGGATGGATATGGCGATACAAATTCAAGTGATGCCTTAACTTCTGATGAAATTACTGCTTGTTTAAATTATAATTACCTTTCAGTTACTAATAATGAAGGGTTAACAAGACAAATTTTTTTTTGGTTATCATTATTGTGTAGCCTTCGTGGAGGAGACACAAGTAATTTGCAGTATCATGATATCGAATCTTGAGCTGATAGTGGGTTACAACTATGATTTAGAAAAGAAAAAAATAATCAGGGTGGAGTTTTTCAATGTAGACGATATGGTCATACTGCTACACATACTGTTTCGATTCCTCCTAACAATAATGAAAATCAATTTGCACCAATAAAAGATATAATTTTATATTTATCTAAACATCCTGCCAAATGTCAAGATTCTGATCCACTTTTTTTAGAATGTGTTAGAAAAACATCTGGTATTTTATTTTATTATATAAATTTAATTTCTAAGTTTAAATTTTTTTATACAATTTTATGTACGTATATATGTCTTAGATATCAAAAATGGAATTTAGTACAAACCTTCATGTATGGGTGCAAACAAACTTAAAAAAATGTTACACCAAATTGCTGTTAATACTAGTATTATTCTTGCTGATCATAAGATCACAAATCATAGTACAAGATGAACTGCTATTATGCTTCTAAAAGCATCTGATACATCTGAAGATGAATTAATGGCTTTTTCAAATCATCGATCATGTGAGGGTATCATGTCTTATATCAAACCTACATATGATCAACAATTAAACTCTATAGCTTCACTTATACCATTTGCAACAATTGAAGAAGATCTAGAAGAATATTATAATTACCTTGGAGAATCTTATATTACATATGAATCAGAAGAAGATAATTCAGATACTGGTAAAGTTTAAATTAAATGTACTATCATAATAAAATTTTTATATTTTTAACTATGTATATCTAAATCTATAGAAATGACAATATCTAATTCAGATTCAAGAATATTAGAATGTGGTACTACATATTTATTATTGTTAAACAAAACTGCTAAATTATTATTTATCTGTTATTACATATTATTTTTAGAAATTTCTGAAACATTTATTATGGCTAGTTCTGAATCTGAAATAGAAGTAACAGCAACATCTAATAATAGCATTATTAATAATAGTTTACAACATAAATTGCCTAAAACTCGCAAAATTATAAAACAGTCAAAATCAAGATTAACTGTTTTCACACCTTTTAAACCACCAATCAAGAAAGCAAAGATTTCAAATTCTAAATCTAATTTACAACAAAAACAATTTTATAACACTCAAAAAAATCAATTATACAACACCCAAGAAAAATGATCATATAGCATCCAAGAAAATCAATCATATAATGCTCAAAAAAATCAATTATATTATGCTCAAGAAGATCAATCATATAACGCTCAAGAAGATTAATCATATAACGCTCAAGAAAATCAATCATATGAATTAGCGAATTATTCAAATACTGCACAAAACTATATTTGACCCAGAAATACTCTTGAATCTGTTACCAACAATATTATAATTCAAATTCTAATCACTGACAAACTCTTAACTATAAATTTAAATCTTACATTTGGTAAATAATATAATTCATATTTGCAGGATTTTTTCTTTCATATAAAGATTTTTTTTAACATATTAGATATATTTGCTGAATAAATAAGATCATATTATGCATTGCTAATTAATCTAATATACAATTTTAAAATTATAAAAACCTATAATCCCATCCAATTACAATTATTAAAAGTAAATACCAACTGATTTAATGAAAATATCTAAATCCGAACACTTTCATATTTGACAAAATATGAAAGTGTTCTGATTTAGTTATTTTTTTTAAACATGTGCTGTAAATGAGTGAAAAAAGCATAGGTTGTTACATAAGACTCATACAATAAATTTCAAATATTATATAGTTGGGGATGAAGTAGTGTACTAGTAGGAATTGTACAGCTAAGTTTGGCTTTGCTTTTAACAAGTCCAATATAATTGGTAAAAATTTTGTTACATGTATTCTAACTTAGAACAATGTTATGAATACGATATTTAATTGTAGGAATAATAACTGTTGATAATATATTGTGCATATGTGTCAGTGATCTTTTTAGTACTTGCAATTTTTATAAGATGTGATGATTTAGCTGTAATAAGCTTAGTATGTTTTGTTTACTTGCTGTTAAGTATAAACCAGCATCCTAAAAACTTAAATGGTTCATTTGAAGGATGGAGATTAAGTAAATGATTATTGTAAGTAATAGGACTGTAATTAGTTGGAGGGTTATTAGTTGTAAGTATTGATTTGGTAGGATTGATTTGGATGTTGGTCATGTTGTAAAAGGATTCTGCTATTAGCAGAATTTGTGAGAGTTCTTGCTGTAAAGATGCAATTCATAGAGTGTCATCCATATAGGCAAGAACAGAGCAGTAAGATTCAAGTTTGTTAAATGTTTGATTTTTAAGATTAGTTAACCAGGAAACTTTAGTGTTGTATCCATTAAAGTCATTGTAAATATATGAGATAAGTGGGTCATAGTATATTCTTTATAAAAGTAAAGTAATGGTTTCTTCCTGGTCGATACCATTATGAACTGGATATGAAGAGGTAAGACCAAGATTTGTAATAACTTGATTTTGTTGATCAGTGA